TGACATACAGGAAGAATAGCAACAATAAGTCATGCTACAAAGTGTAGAAAAGTAGAAAGCATCCCTACTGATCCTTAAAATGTTTGGCTGAGAGCTGTACACTGGGTGGCAGGAGAAACTGATTAACCTTTTACTCCTAAGAAGGTTCCTCAGGCATATAGTATGGTTAATGCCATGAGACATACAGTTTTTAATAGTTGTTCAGCATCTCAGAAAAAATTACAGTTATTGTAGGAATATCACTGATAGATATGGCTCTCAGGAAGCCTGGGGAGTAGAACCTGAACATATTTCATTTTCCTTGGTATTTTGCAGGCCTTTGTTGGAAGTTGTACTGAGCAGTTAAGTGAGCAAAAGATGGGCTGAAAGAGTAGGAGGAGGAGACCGAAGGAACTTGCAAAATTAAATACCCTGCCGAGATACTTGTCCATTCTGCAATTTCAATTGCTCAGTGCTGGGCCTGATCCTATGGGGGATGCAGAAGTAATATAAGAGCTGGCCCCTGCCCTCCAGAATCAGCGTCTAACTGGAAACACAACACGAGAACACATGCGGTAGTTAAACGGCAGAGCCAGGAAGTGCCATGATGGAATGGCTAGGGAAGGACAGAGAAGGGGACGAGCGCTGTCTGGATTGGACAGGAAAGGCTTGTGGGAGAGGCCTGAGCTGGTCTTTTGAGGCAAAGAGGTTAAGGTTAGTAGAGTCCAGGAATAGGAGCAGCATTTCAGAATGAGCAGAAGTTTTGAGTAGGAAGTGTAGCTGAGGGCTTCAGGTGGTGGTGGGAACCTGGTCTGGATGAAGAGAATTCATGTGTGAAAATTATGGCAGATTTGCTTAGAAAGTCAGGAATGGCCAAATTATGAATTGTCCTGGAATTCAGGTCAAGTGTTCAGATTTCATAATTTAGGAAATAGGGTGATAAAATTTACCTTGTAGGGTGAATAGCTGGGAGGCAGTATTTAGAACAGAATTGGAAAGGAAGTCGATTATGAATTGTCCTGGAATTCAGGTCAAGTGTTCAGATTTCATAATTTAGGAAATAGGATGATAGAATTTACCTTGTAGGGTGAATAGCTGGGAGGCAGTATTTAGAACAGAATTGGAAAGGAAGTCAAAAGCAAGAAGACTAGTTGGGAGACAGTTGTCTGAGGTTAGAAATGACATAAGTACCTGGATTGGGATGGTAGAGCTGAGAATTAGTGAAGGATTAACTTCATATTGCAGAGGAAGAAGGCACTGGACTTATAGGATGAACAGTTAGCCAAAAGCAAGAAGACCAGTTGGGAGACAGTTGTCTGAGGTTAGAAATGACATAAGTACCTGGATTGGGATGGTAGAGCTGAGAATTAGTGAAGGATTAACTTCATATTGCAGAGGAAGAAGGCACTGGACTTATAGGATGAACAGTTAGCGCCAAACAGTATACCGACTTTGCAAAAGGATTTGGAGTTACTGCAAAAAAAGGGGGGGGGGATTAAGCTAGATTACAGGGAGGAAGATGACTTTGGTTTCTGACAAGTTAAATCAAAGATAATGGTTGTACTGCATAGCATTGTCGTGAAAACATTCAAAGTCACAGACTGGAATTCAGATGAGGAGCCCAGGCATATCCAGAATCTATTCCTTTCATCAGGGGAAAAAAAAAAGTGTAGAAAAAATTAGCAAAGCCAGCAGAGTGGCCCAAGCCTAGCCATGATTTAGTTAACTACTATTTAGTTGGAATTTTAATATTTTAGATAAAATTTAAGAAGATTCAAATTCTAGCTACTTGCAAATCTATCTAATGCAAATATAAGACTTTTAGGATCAGACCCCTGATATTACATAACTGAAAACAGATTCACCTCCTTTGGTGAGGCATTACCTATATTACTTCAGGAATGTTAGATATTTTAAGATTATAGACAGGTTATCTGATCTAATTTATCTACCTATTGTTGAGATTATTTAAATTTCACTTTACTGTGTTTTCATTGATTTCTCATTTCTTCCTTCTAGAGATAACTTTTGTTATATTACAGACTCTTGGCTTAAATACCTTCCTTAGAAATTTTGGAGAAATCAAAATTCAAAAAGTCTTTTATTTCTTTGTGGATAAAATAGTCCCAGAGAAAGAATCAAGGATAGACAGTTAGAAAACAATTCAAGGAGAAAATTCTAACACTTACCAGAAGTAATGTATAGAATGAAGGCTTCTAATTTAAGTTCTCACAGACATGTAATAGGAATCTTGGCACTTACTTTCTGCCAATAATAGAGTTAGGTGTGTACCATTTACTTCATTAAATTAAAGAAGGCGTCCTCTCCTTCTCTAATAGTGGGTATATCATGATCTCAAGGAAATGAAAATGTACCAGTTCTACTACAAGTCAGTGAATGAATTGGGCAGATTGTATAATTAGTTATAATGGCATATACCACCACATCTTAAAATTGAAAAAAAACCCCCACAAAAAACTGTGGAATATGCAATGGAGTAGGAAAGAACCTTTATTATCAACAAGGATAAATTTCAGGGCAGGTGAAAATTAAATGGGGTTATTCATGAAAAAAGTGTGACATGAATACATCAGATGTATATATAAAGACCTAAACTCTCTCCTATTCCCTTAGCCAGTCTGCTTGGCTGGTGTCTAGGAATCTCTTCAATAAGTCACTGCTATTCTTACGTATCCCTAGAACTCCTTCCTGACAAGAGTATTAACTTTGTAAGAATTCTGTGGCTCTCAAATTAAGTAGTTACCTGAAAAGAGGCAGAACATATAAGAAGATTACATGAACTCACTCCCAGTTTGCTTAGCCCACTTTCATTTTTGGTTGTAGAAACCTTTTTGTAACTGTTCAGATTGGGCCCAGGTACAAGTGACAGCAACCCAAGAACCAGTGGTTTAACCAAGTTAGAGAGTTATTTCTTTTTCCCCGTAATTCAGGAAGTAGTCAGCCCAGGGCTGGAAGGAAAGGTAGGTCATGTCTGTTCCATGAAATCTTTAGCAGCCCATGCTCCATCATCCTGTAGATGAGACTTTTCTTTTCATGGACCAAGATGGTAGTTTTCACATTCCAGACAGCAGGATAGAATAAAGAACCAAAAAGAAGGGTGAAGATACGTGCCTGCTATGTTATTAGGAAAGGTCCCAGAAGCTGCTTTATGGTACTTAACGCTTGGTCATATAGCTGTACATTTCCACTGTAGTGGCATGATGGTAGCAGCAGGTTGAGCTTTCCAGGTGTCTGCAGAGGTACCTGGAGCAGAGTGATGGAGGCAGAGCAGCGTGGCAGTAGTTAAGAGCGTAGCCTCTGGAGTCATTCCTAGTTTTGAATCCTGCTTTTTCTCAGATGTAAAGGGAAGTAGTACTAGTACCTTCCTCTTAGAGTTGTTGTGATGATTAAATGAAATAACACATTGAGCATGGTATCTAATACTTCAGAACCATTTGATAAATGTTATTAGCTCTTATTATTAAAAAAATGAAAACTTTTCAAGCATCCAAATGCATGTAACTTTTCTGTATGAATTTTCAATTTGGAAGATATATTTACTTTCTTTTCCAGATATGATAAGATTCAGAGTGGTTTTCATTTCTTTGCATTTTTCCACTTTTGAAAATAAGTTAGCATGTGTGTGCTTGTTTGGGAGTTGTTCCTAACAAACTGTATGAGTGATTTTCTTGAATTTTCCATGGGTTCTATATGTTTTATTGACACTATCCTATAGGCTTTTACTTCTTTATACCAGTTTTGATTGAAGCATATTTCACGTTAAGAATTTACAGTCTCCCCCTTTTCACTGCTGTAACAGAGTAGGAATTGGGCACCACATCAAGAAGAGAAGGGCATCTTTTAACGGATGAGGTTCGAAGATGGCAGCATGAAGTGGGTATGCCATGTTTGCCTATAGAGGATAGACAGTTCTGAATTTCGAACTAATGTCAAAAAAATGTAAAAGTTTGGCAGCTTCTTCATTTAGAAATGGTGATAGGAGAGAAGTGGGTGAAAACAAAGCTTGTTATTCCAACTTTGAAGTGACAATTTTCTTATGGTAACAAACAAAATAGTTGTATCGAGATATTTTTTGCTAATACCTAAATGCTCTTTTGCTTCTCTCTTTTTCTTTCTTTCTCTAAGCCCCTTCTTTGTTCTGTGGCTTTTCTTTTGTAACTCCTCCAGACTACAGCTTTGTTCCCCCTTCTTCCACTCCTTTCTGGTCAGGTACTGCTTTACTGCTTTTATGTGTCTCTTGAACTTGCTTCTGTTTGCAAATAAAGTATTTTGATTTCCATGTGTGGCTGCTCATACAGATTCATCTCATGGACTGTCCCTAGAGCTCCATATCCACTGTGCACTTTGCTCTTCTCTGTGATAAAGTCATTGTTTGTCCTGACATTTCACTTCTCTGATTTTGTGTGCCCATATCATGTATTTAAGTAAGACATTTTATTATTTATCTGATGGGGAGTAGTTGGAGAGGGATAGGGACTGAAAGTACAAAGGGGATGAAAGTCTCTGTTAAAATCATTATTTTTCTTGAGGATCAGAAATTTTAGTTGAGAAAAGCCAGTATTTATGTATTTCCATTAAGAAAATAAATAGAACAAAAATCCCAACTTTGTCTCCACATACAATATGCATTGCTTGAAAGGATGCCTGGTGCCCATCAATTCTACGGCTTTTCAGTGTTTGCATGGGCATTTTGGTCTTGATTTCTATCATTAGCCAGAGAGTTTAATGGCTGTTTATGTGATATTTAGGGGAGTGTGTTTTCTCATAGATTTATAAATATTAGCCTATAAGTCCCAATAAAATCATAGAATTTAGAACTGGAAAGACCTTAGAAGTCATCTAGAACAAATATTTCATTTTATAGATGAGAAAAACGTGGCTTAGAGGAGTTAAGAGCCCTGTGCAAGGTCGCACACTTAAGTTGACAATTGGGTTTTTCCATCACAGTGGTGTTTTTATGTGCACCGACTAGCTGTAGTGCCCCAGTAATGGGACAGGTTTCAGTAAGAAAACTATTAAAGTGGTTTGTGTCCTGAACAGTAAAATAAAATGACCTATTTTTACTCCCTTTACAGTTCTGAAATCTACAGCATTCATTTTGTAGTGCCCCAGTAATGGGACAGGTTTCAGTAAGAAAACTATTAAAGTAGTTTGTGTCCTGAGCAGTAAAATAAAATGACCTATTTTTACTCCCTTTACAGTTCTGAAATCTACAGCATTCATTTATCTTATGATCGACACCTGGAGACTAAAAAAATTCTGTCATTACAGAACCATGAATAATAGACCAGAGATCCCTGTCGCCAAGTGGGCGGCTCTTCCAGGATAACACGGGTGGTAACTGCAGCTGCTGGGGCAGTGGGAACTGTTAACAATACAGATGGATGCTGTTTCCCATTTGTCTCTTTTCTTTACATTTAAGTTCCTCTACCATTTCAGATTTATGAAGTCCCACCAATCTCAGATGGGTGATTCTCAGAATCACTGGACATATAATTCAAAACACTTTATAACCCCAAAGAGCAACAGGTGGAGAGGTTGATATGAAATGTGCTAAGAAACACTAGAGACAAGCGAACATGTACAGCTCGAATGCAGTTTTCCTTTCACAACAGGACAGGAGGAGGGGAGGCAGGGAGGAAGTTAGTTCTTCTCCTACCATCAAATGTATATATGTGTTTAAAAAAAAAAAAACTCTGAACACAGGAGATGATCACCTGCCAACTTGTTTTTGATCAGATACTTCAGTTAAAGTTTTCTGTATTTGTTTGAAAGGAAGAAAATATATGGATGGTGTCTGTATTCTTTATGTGAAACCTGATTCACGGTTCTTCACATAAGTGACATGATACATAAAACAATAACTGAGTTTATCCCCAAATTGCTTTAACATAAAAAGCCTGATTGGTGGGGGGAAATGCTACTTAACTAGAAGTGATGTCATATATTTGACAGGAGACTTTCATCAGATCAAAAAACATATTTGTTTTGAGTATCAGTTGAAGCAATTGCTAGACAAAGACGAAAAGCTTTACTTCAAAGGTTCTAGTTAGAAGTAGATTACTGTGCCATCAATAAGAAATTTATGCTAAAGTTATTTTAGATTCTCTCTCCTTAGATAGTAACCTAGATATTAACCCATATTTTGTTTTGTTTTGTTTTCAAAAACTAGTCCATTTTGAAGTTCTTATGGAGAATGTGAAAATAAACTTTATCAAACGAATTTGCCTACACCCGATTGCATTGAAACAGCAATTCTGCTGCTTCAAGCTCCTCTGCCATTATCACTGGTCTGTAATGAAATCACGATTGTGCATTTGATAGCATCAGTAACATTTGTCTGATTAGGTTCTCACGGGTGTTAACCAACTGCAAATCAGCTGATGCCCATCATTTCTTTACAGTGTTAAGTCCGAAAGTGCTGGGCATTGCTGTCGCACGATACGACTTCTGTGCGAGAGATATGCGAGAATTGTCCTTGTTGAAAGGAGATGTGGTGAAGATTTACACCAAGATGAGTGCAAATGGCTGGTGGAGAGGAGAAGTGAATGGCAGGGTGAGTTGTCCCTCTCGACCTGCTGACGCACGTGAATGAAGGCGACTGGCAGTCATTGGCACTCACTGTGGTGCTGGGGAGAAGCTCCTCACTGTGTTGTAGCCTTCCCCCCACAGACCCCTAGCCTCCAGAGACTGGTACACCTAGCTGGTAACAGGCACTTGCTGATAACAACACTAAAAATGTGCTGAATAAATATGACAGTGGCATAAATAAAGTTCACCCAGGCAAGTTTGATGGCTTCCTGTTTGGAAAAGAGTCGAGGAGCATTTCAGTTCTTTTTAGGCCCTAAGCCTTAGAGCATAAACTTTATGTGCAATGGAAAATATTTTTAAGAGACGCTGACCTAAATCAGAAAGAATGGGACAGAGTACCTCTGTCTTTCCTATTCTGCAGCAGAAATAGGAATCATTATGTAGTAGATCTCCATGTTACACTTAATTTACATATTTATTTGTGTGCTAGTGGATTAGAACACTGTTTAAGTTTATTTTATTCCTCTATTTCTATCATTCACTCTATTAGTCTTCTAAGAGCAGTTAAACCAATCTCCTTCACCTACAATGGGCATAAAAGCCCAGCTTAATTGGGGTGTTATGAAAATGAAAAGCTCTGTGTGTAGAATCGTTTGAAGTGCCAGATGCAAAGTCATGTTACTGTGTTGGTTGCTTTTTTCTTTTAGGTGGGCTGGTTTCCATCCACGTATGTGGAGATGGATGAATAAATTCCAATTCAGCGTTGCACCGTGCACCAAAAATTTCAGAGAAGGGATGAAGAGAAGCCTGCACAGCATTATGAATTAACTGAAGTGTTTAAAAAGCTGCATTTCTGGCTGTTCAACATCCTTCCTTCTTTACCCCTCCTAAGTCTTAATGCTGGGATTTCTAAAGATGCTGGTACTGACAGATTAATGGTTTGCCTAGAGCTGTGCAAGAAACAGCGTGCCAGCCTCCTCATTGTCAGGGACCAGGGCAAAGCCAAAAGCCTTTCTTCCCAGAAGGGCCCTGCAAACATGTTGGTTCGTGTTTCTCTTTACTTCATCCGGTCATACACCGTGAATGCCAGTCTAAACGTTTTGCCATAAACATTTGATGCATATTTACTTTAATCTTTCATGCCATTCACCAGAATTTTTGATGGTACAAAGAAGCAGAAGTTTAATTTTGCTTTTCCCAGCATGAAGAAAAATCAGAGTTCCACCATTTTGGCTGCTTACTGGAAACATCCAGAATTACCTGTCTTAAATTGTCCAACAAGGTGACTCATTGCCTGGCAAACACTTGTACCCCCAGATGTTACTTATGATAAAATATGAGACAAGTGCTCAGGTTTGCATCATAAGTGGTATATCACAGAAGGGTTTTAATTATTTATTTGATGTCCTGATTATACAAAAGGTCTTCAAAAAGTTCATAGAAGGATTCCTATTATCTTTTAATTCCATTTTCTGCGAAATTTTTGAAGTACACTTGTATTTGCAGATTTCTTCATGAAAAGGGAAAAAAGCATGTTTTCACATTATATCTTTACAACCTTCACGATTTCATAGGGTTAATTTGGAAATGCAGTACTTGACTTTATGAAGTAGTCTTAGCTGGGTATTTTCTTGGTCGTTGCTAATAACCTGAGTAAGGTGGCATTGTTTACAGGAACAGATCAAGGGCTATAGTTTATATGTCATTTTATAGCAGTAATATCTATTAACACATGCCTTTTCCTCCTCCACCCCTTCCCAGAGAGACCTGAGGCATATTTGCTGATTCCCACATTTTCCTGGAGTACTCAGAGTAGCACAAATAACTCTGTTGAAGATTTTGGAAGGAAAGCACATCTGGGTCCTTTTATGCATTTCTGCAACAGAAGGAGCGTCACTGGGCTTTTGGGGACTTCCAGTTTCTCTTAGCCTTCCCTCTGCATCCCTTTCTGGGAGTATATTAACTGGTGGGAAGATAAGTTTCGCAGTGCATTTATTTTACCAAGCCTTCACTAAATATGTTCTTCAGGGACTTCCAGTTTCTCTTAGCCTTCCCTCTGCATCCCTTTCTGGGAGTATATTAATTGGTGGGAAGATAAGTTTCGCAGTGCATTTATTTTACCAAGCCTTCACTAAATATGTTCTTCCTGGGATGCCCAGAGTCCCCAGTCAAGGCAGTCAAGTTGAGACTAACTTGGCCCTTTCCTAATGAAATATTTCCTCCATAGCAGAAGTCATGTTCTGACAAGATTGAGAGAGTATTTCATGTTTGGAAAAAACAAAAATTAGAAGCATTAACAATAGAATTTCAGTTTTGACATTTTGGATCATCTCCAAAGTGAAGTCGGTGTGGTCTGCCCTCTCCCCAACCCACTTGGGTGCCAGGACTTGATGTGAGTGGACACACCCCTCTGTTAGAGACCCTCATGGGCTAGGACTT